CGCAACGAAATTCTAGAGCAGTGGCCAAGGGGAACCTTCGCCGTACATAGTGCGAGGGAATAAAATGTTATGGCAACAGAAACGAACACAGCTATCCATTCTTAACATAGATTTTGCCATAGAAAACAAAACACAAACGCAGTATTTTAAACATTCAGTAAGGGGAACTTTTTGTTCTAATCTTCACCTAAGCACCTCAGGCGAGAAACCGTTTTTGTCAGTTTTCGTCGAAATCTTCGTTTGATGCACGCGGTTCTCCTTCGCAGGGCTGAACCGTACTCTACTACTTGTGTACGATGTATCACAACTCTCAGTAGAACCTGCTGAAGATAGGTATACATTGCTATCGGACATAATTTCCAGAGTATTTCAACGCTGACTGATACAAAATTATTAGAGATGTGAGAGATTTGCAAGTTTCAACTCAGAGTTTTCGCAGTTTTCTACGTCATCACCTGCTAATTCGTTACCGGTCCACGGGACACTTTTAAGACTAAATACGAGCACTCGAGGGCCCGGAAAGTCCGAGTTTTAAGTTTTTTGGAATTTTTTCAAGCTAAATATTTAAGCTAAGAAGGATTCACACTGGGTATAGATCTAGCAAGGTTGGGACCAATGTTTGTAAAGCAGCAAAACCCTCAAGCAGCGAAACTTAGGGGTGGTGCTTGTGTCCGATGATGCAAGAATGGACTAAGACGCATCTGGGGAAACTTACAATCTGTTGAAGTACAGTCCTTCAAATAATTAGAAAAAACAACTTCGTGATATCCAAGAGCTCGCTGAGAGAATGTTTCATGTGAATTCACCCTTACAAGTAATGATAAGGTGCTTAGTTAATACATGACTAATCGGGCCTGTTCCAAGCGTTCTAGTCAGTAAAACAGAGCGAAATAGCCAAGGGCACGATAGTAGCGGCGTAATGAAAAAGAGAGTGAGGTTTGGGTCTGGTAGGAAAAAGAAGAAGTTGGTTACACAACATGACCCACCCCTCCCTCGTTTTTTTCGCTCCTCTGATACTCTCTCGCTGTTCAATATGGCACTGTATTTTAGCAACTAAACGCCCGGAACAGGCTATGCTTATTCTCTTACACTCACATGCTCCTTTTTTTTGTTTACAGTTTGTCCCAAGGAAGCAATTCCTCTCTCAGGAAGCGGCAAAATAAGCAGCACAAACTACCCAAAGAGTAACTACAATGCGTCCAGAGATTGTACCTGGAACATTACCGCGCCAGCT